TCAATTGTGACACCAGGGAAGGTCCTGGGGACCAAGTACCCACCAACACCTACTGAAATGCCCAACTAGGGATGTGTGTTATCATTTCATCAGTCCTTTGGAAGTAAAAATTGCTGTATGTGTGGCTGCTGGGAAAAACTGGTTTAGGTTTTCCTGGCTTTCATCTCATCTTGATTTAAATAAAATAGGAAAACTTGCACTGGGTTAAACATTATGGCTCTTACTAACAGATTTTACAATCTGAGCTGTGCACTTGGAGTGGCAAGACAGAGTGCTGACAACTCCTATTTGCCACAGATCAGTATGGGCTGCAGAAAAAAAACACATTATCTGACTGCCAGCCCCGTGGGAAACGCGCAAGGGAATTATTCCAGACGCTGCTCATTTCTGCAAATGGAAGGAGTAGAACTTTCCTGACAAGACAGAAATGGATGAGAACTCAAAGTTCACAAAATGATGAAAAGCAATAAATCAGGGTTTCAAGTAACCCATGTGGATGATTTTGCCAGTCTCATCTGTTCACTGTCAGGGGCTGCAGAAACACAGTAAAAAACAGGCTAAGTTCCACAACTCTTTTGTTGCTAAATTCAGTGTATTTATTTTACTGTTTTAAAACTCATGTAACCCTCCATTTTTAAAAATGATTTTATATTTGTGAAGTCAGGTGAACAGCAGACAGATCATCTATGCACTGCATAGATATAAGTAGTAATATTTCAAAGTTTGTTACATTTTCTTGCCTGCTCACCTCATTCCTAACATAGGCACCATATTTCATTAGGAGTTAATTATTTTCATCTCTGTTCTATCTCCAGCCATTTTACCAAGACTTCCAACAACATTATCCTTTACTGCAAACCCTATCAGGGTTTGTTGTGGAACACATCCGAGAACATTGCACAATCCTTGAAGAGATGTCAAATTTAAAGATCCAGGGATGAACAACTCCAGGTTACATTTTTAATCCTGAAACTTGAGGTTTCAGAAGAAATATGAAGTTACAGATCAATGCCCTTTGGCATTATTTTCTGAAATATGTGTGGCAAATGTGCTTCCTACAATCTGAAATTTAACGTAAGATCCCCCACTCCTGCTTGCCCAGCAATTTGCTGGTGCAGGGACATATGGAAGCTAAAGGCTGGCTGGACCTGTTCCTTCCTTTCATGCAGATTTCCAGCTTCTGCAGCGGAAATTCCAGCAGGAACAACTGAATTAGCCTCTTTATTCTTTTTAGGTTGCTTATTTATAGATCCTGGAAGGGTGTTTGACAGAAAATTGGTGTGTTCCCCTCCTTTGTAACCAGCCTCTTGCCCATCTTAAAATAACTCTTGCCCTGGATTACAGAGGCTGGCATTCAGTTACACTGGTCTCTAGTGTTACAGACCATCCACGGTCCCCCCGTGGCTCACGGGCACAGGGACTGATCCCATGCACAATCCCATGGATGGGTTCTTTGGGCACAGCTCAGGAGCCCAGATTATCCAGTCTTAAAGGCTGTTTCTTTGTGCAACCAGGCCAGTGTATCTCAGTGTCACCCATTTATCTTTAAGCAAATGGTTTATCTTAAAAAATAAACACACTTGTACATCTGACTCTCCTGTACCATTGCACGTAAAATAGGTGAAAAGTGCCAATAAAACAACTGTTTTCTAAATGCTAAAATAATTATGTCCATATTTCATTAATGGCAGTACTGTATCTACCCAAAGAAGTTTGGCTCTGGAGTTTTAATATTTACACTAAGGCTCCAGGAAATGGCATTTTGTATGGTTAATTTCTGGCTTCAATCTGTATTCCACAGCAAGTGGAGTTCAGATTAGTTTTTCCTGAAAGCCTCCTTTACCCAAGTGGCCCAGAAGGGCTGGATTTGTTTCCATCAGAAAAACTGTTTTATTGCTAGCTTTTGTAATAAACCCAAAATTTTACAATATTCAACTTTTACAGCGCTAAGCTTTGTTTCTAGGACATCTGCATTTTATTTCCTGGACACAACAGGACCAAAAGCAGAAAAAGAAATTATTGCCCATTACTATACCTTTAGTCTAAGCCAATTTTTCCCCATGTTTGTGTACATCTTTTAAGTCCATGATATAGTGCCTTCTATTTGGTCACCTGAGTAATTAAAAAGATAAATACATGCACATTTAAGGGGGGAGACTGAAACGTAGCATATTAAAACCTTCCCATAAGCATACCTGGACTGAGATCTGTCCTCTTCAGCAGCTGTGTGCCAGCCACCAGAAGCTAATTTTTCATTAACGTTACTTTTAAAAGAGATACCTTCACTGAGGACACTGGATCAGGGATTCCCTTGATCTCCTTGACTTACCTTGACCTGAGGTGCAGGGGCAGAGCCTGCCTCTACAAACTGCTGTGCTGCTTTCCTGCCTCCTGGGTGGAGTGTGATTTGTACCCCTTTCCGTTCCCACCTTGTCTACAAACACAGCTGAGCCAACATAAAAGCTGAAAGTAAAACATATCCCAGATAAAGGCTTTTTCCCTCCCTCTGGAGAGGAACTGGACACCAGGCCTGTCCCACCTGGCTCCTGGGGGCAGTGTAACTGCTGCCCCTTCCTCGGGGCATGGCATGGTTTGGCAGCCTGCAAATAAATAGTCAAAATGCTATATTTACTGGAAACACAATGCCTTGCTGCTGTGAGGGTTTAAATATAGAGAACAGGCCACTACTGGCATTTAAAATAGCACTAGCTGGACAAGATAGTGCAATCAGAAAACAGCCGAAGCTTTTGCTGTGGTTCCATGCACAGGCTTTTCCTATCCCTCCTGCTGCATTCAAAGGAGCTGAAGCAGTGCCTCTCACAGACAGGGGATCGTTTGCTCTTGAATAAATTGCGTTCCTTGACATTTATTCAGCTTTTTGAAATGGCTACTGCAAATGCACTGTGTACTAGAAAACCTTGCATTCAACAGCACACCTGCTGTTTGTTGTGCACAGCTGTATTTGAAAAGTAAGGTAACATAATTCTTATGGTTTTAAACTCCCAATTACTTTCTACCTGACTTTCAAAGCCAAATTTCCAGCTGCCACCCAGGGTCAAAGCACAGAGCAGGTACCACCATCCTGCAGAAAGGCAAGTGAAGGAGGAATTCCCTTTCCCTCCTCTGCCAGCTCCACATCACTGGTACCAACTCAAGGCAGCGAACAGCCTCTGCACAGAGGAAGTCAGGAGCTCACAGGGAATGGGTGGGAATCTTCAGCTGCTTCCTCCTTGGCCACTCCCTCCTCCCAGCCCCTGTGCAGGATTTGTAGCTATGCTGATGTGTCAAGACATATAAACTGGACTGGGCGCAGTTTAGACTTGAGCAAGAGAGGAAACAAAGAGAGATTATGACTCAGAGCACCAGTCTCCAGCTAGGCAGCTCCAGGGCAGCCAAATGTACATTCCCTTATTAGGCCACATCATGAAACCTCACTTTGTTTTGAGTTGTACCTAATTCTGCAGTAGTAGCACCGACTTTAAGAATCAACTTCTAAAGCAGCACTTGGCATAGTGCAGCTCTACCTCCAGTTTTGCTTCTTAAAAGAACCTCATCAGTTGTAATTGAATTTGACTCCACCTACTCTGACAAACACTGAATAGTGTAACATGAATCAGGCCCTATTAGCAGCAGATGACACGTATTAAAAATCTAGCACCTGTTTAACTTCCTGTAAACACTACATTTTTAAGACTCTAATCCTAATTTCCACTGTGCCGCCTCAATTAATGAGGTGGTTTTGATCTGGATTACTTTAGTGGTCTACTAAGAGAAACCATTAGATAGGGCCTTATACCATCCACAGACTTTGCTTAGAGAGCTCAGATCTAAAAATCCACAGCTGATTTTCCTCAATTTAAGTATTTTTGTTACATGATGTCAGATACATGTCCTCAGCTGAAATGTAACCCTGCATGAGCAATGTGCCACTGAAGTGAGTTCATGCAGGAATTATGCAGGCAGCTGCACTTTCACACCTCTTCTAGAATGCCTCAAATGCTGCTCCCAAAGCTGGAGTAGCCAAAAGGTTACAAGGCATTGTGTATTCTCAGACAGTGCTGTTGACTATGAAAATGAAACTAAAAGAAGCATCAACCTTCCACCTACAGCTAAGCAGACAGTTCACAGCCCAAATGCTACACATATTGCAGTATAATTGCATGCTATATTGTTATTTTAAAATAGTGACAGCTCTCAATGACCACTCTTAACCTGCCTCTTAAAAAGAAGATATTTTTCAAATGGATTTAAACCTAATTTTGAATACACTCTCAGGATTCTAAGTGTAGTTCAGTAAATGATCAATTGCCTCGAGCAATCATCTGTTGTGGTATTCATAAATTTAGGGTTCTATGCTGCAAACATGCTATCAGGTAAAAGAAAATTTGTGTTCATAAAATTAACAAGTCAAGTGTAACTTCTGGATTTTAGTTAGGACCCTTTCCTCCCCTGCACTTCTGCACTGACTCTGCTGCTTTCATTTCACATGGATGTAGCTGAAAGATGGTTCATCTCCCTTGCTTAAGTGCAAACTGCTTCAAACAAGGCATTGCTTAAAACTGTTCACAAAGTGAGAGAAATCCTAATGACTCTATGAATACAAAATATGTTTCTAAATACAAAAAAAAGTGTACTTATGCATACAAAAATCCATAATTGTTAATAAAAGAATAATGACTTTGCAGAAGAAGTTAAGATCTGGAAATTTCTGTAAGACAACCACAGATCTCAATGTTATAAACATTTCTGTTAAATGGTAACTTCCACGGTGAGGGGGCAGAAATGCTCATCCAAATTCCTTTCTCAATTCATAGATGTGACACAGCAACAACATCAGAAGGGAGGACATCAATAGAGAAAGGCATGTTTTGGCCTTGATGAGAAAACAGCTGTCAGGCTTCAACTATAATGCTGCACTAATAAGTATCAGTGTTCAGAAGAGTGCATTTAAAACCATTTACTGCCTCTACAGTTCCAGCTTATAAAATCACAAGACTAAATTAGGCTTCCATATTATTTTATTTCCCTCTTAAAATATAGCATTGAAGTCCTGCACACATATAAATATCCCTACAGTTTCTTACACACTTTCTATCCATCATTAAAGTGCCCAACTGTGAACATTAAAAGTAAAAACATTACTGTTAGGAGTGGTTATACTTGTAGGAGGACTGGTATTCTGACAATGCAGGCCACTGATTTTACAAAAATCACCTGCAAAAGAATACACCTTAAACAACACGCATCAATATTAACCCTGAAGTCATTTTTCTTTTCCATTCAGCTGATCTAAAAGCAATTAATGTACAGGGTTTATTTTTGAAACATGTCTTTTACATAGTGTAAGAATAAAGGATAAATGCATCACTTTCTTTCTAGCTCCCTCCTTTCCCTACAAAGTGTTTACGGTGTCCCAAGCTGCTATGTTAATTAAAACCAGTTGAAAAGAGCTCTGGAAATGCATGCAACTTAAAATTCACTTAAACACACTAAGTTATAAAGTCTGAGAGATCCTAATTTCAGCACGTGGCTATGGTTCAGTTGGGTTATTGGATGTGTTTGTCGTGGTGGCGAGATTGGTAAACACTTCTTCCTTAGTTTCAGGCTGATGTCTTTCTGTTTTGGTTTCCTCTTTAGCATTTTTATTACTGCTATCTCCCTTGCTCTTGACTACCACAGGTTCAATCTCCATGATCTCCTGCGGGGGCTTAGGCTCTGGAAAATTTGGCTGAAGTCCATCAACTTGAACAGGTTCTGGGACATCTTCTGCTTTCTGTTCAAGTTTTTCCAAAATGGTCTGGACCTTCCTTACACCATCTCTCCTGGCCTGGCGCACATCCGCACGACCCTCAGGGTCCACTGAGTCTAGGGCTAGCAACTCTTTGGTCAAATACTCTTCAATCATCAAGTACTTTTTGTCAGTTTTCTTGCCTTCAAAGGAGTTGACTGCCTGCTCAAGTGTTTGTACTCTCTCCAGAATTGCTTCCACTTTCAAAACACCGGGATGCTTTTGAGGTTCTTCTGTTTCCATCGTCTTTGGTGGTGCCACTTCTTCAGGAGGAGGCCTTTCCTGGGGGGGAGCAGCCTTAGCTGGGGAAGGAGCTTTTTTATCAGCTTTCTCTGCCATGGCTGGAGGCTTCTGGGGTGGTAGTTTAGGATCTGGTTCTTGGTGGGTGACCTGAATTGGGATATATGTGGAGGGCACCTCCGTTTCAGGCGGCGGGGCTGCTTTGTTGTCAGGCTTGATTTCAGGAGGAGGGGCTGGTCTTGGTGGCTCCTGAGCTGGGACTTGTTGCTGAGAAACCTGGTGAGCAAGGCAAGTTTTGTGTTCAGACACAATGCTCTTTATTTCCCTCTGAAGAACAAGTATGCTAACATCTAATTTTCTGTACTCCTAGCAGTGCAATTTCACACACAAGGTGATTAATCTTCCCTGAGCGTGGCTGAATTTTACTGTTTTAAACTGAAAAATGGCACTGTGATGAACAGCTATTATTGTTACCAATCAACTCTCTCAAACATTGAATTTCAACCCACCAAATCCTGCCCATGCTCAATAAAATCAGCCCCATAAACAGGTTTAAAAGACAGGACCTTTGAGCAAAGCCTTCACCTAACTTCAGTCAATGAGATTTCTTGCAGCTGGACTGTAACACAGTCAAGATTCCATCCCCTTTTTCACTAATTAAGGGCTCATCTTTCTTGAAAAGCCTACAACTTTGCTGACTTTTAATCACTTTTTGGGCTATTCTTATCCTATTCCAGTTTTCAGGACGTTCCTTTTTTTGTTAGAGTTTATTTTTAATCTTTAACCTATTTACATGCAGAGGTTACTGTGTCAATCTTATTACACTGTAGCAATTATAGACTATCCTTGGGATTACTCCAGTTTTAAATCATCAAAACCTCTTGAAATTGAGATTAGTTTTGAAATCTTAGCAGAAAACTGAAATTTATGAGATCTGCATTTTCCTCTCCCTGATACCCCCTTTACTTACTTGGGCACACAAACAGTGATTTTGAAAGATATTAAATCCAGGTCTCATGGATTTAAATGGCTGGAGTGAAATACCTGTATTTTATTTAAAACAAGTACATAAATGGCCTGCACTGAAAATCTGTCACTGCTTTACCTGTTTAATATAAACTTTGACTAGGGAGTGCAAACTCTCACCCACAAAAATAAATTAGCACTGACCTAGAATATGCCATTAAATCTTGAGTCTTCTTTGTTTTGTCCTAGCCTGGGTTTTCAAAACTATTAACCTAATTCTGCTCCTGTCATTTTTAATGTGAAAACTCTCCAGAGAGGAAATCAAAGCTTGTTTCTGTACATACCCCCTTCCACACACTCACCGTTGCCTAATTCCCAGTAGCCTTTTAATTGTAGTTTTAGTAAGAATTCTAACATGGAAAAAATGTTCAATGAGCAGCAGGTTCTATGACCAAGAACATGCTTCAAGACAGAAGAATAAAAAGCTCTAGATTTTGCTTATCCTCTTCATTCATAGAAAAAATTACTTTGTGCAGCTGATGCTATCCCCTAAATGGTTCTGAGGCACCAGTGAAGTATATTTACATAGATGTCACAAATCCCACGGACCTGGTTTTCTTCTCATAAACATAATGCAACATCAGTGACCTCAGTGTAATTACACCAAATTATACTCTGACAAGAGAAGATTAAATCGTGCATTAAATCATATTTCAGTGATACACCACAGTCCTGACAGGTGGAAAGGCAACTTGCTGCTTATCTCAGGATCTCCCAGTCTGTTTAAATCCAGCAGTGGAGATTGCTTTATGTGCTTTCATGTATGTGTTAGTACAAGCTCATTTTTCAGCTCTAGCCACGCTCAGGTCCCTGGCAAGTGAATCACTTCCCCATTCTACATACCTGGGGTCTCTCTACTCCTGTCTGCACTCGGATGGGAGCTGGGGGCTGCATCTGGGCACTCACTCTGGCCGGGGAACTCTCCCGACTGGAGGAGCCTCTCTGAGCCACTCTGAACGGAGACTGCGCTCGTGCTGCCTTGGGCTCCCTCTCCCCTGGCTGGATTTTATGGAACACTGGCTGGTGGGCTTGGAACTCGCTCTGCTGGGCAGGGTAGTGGGTCTTCTGTGCCTGGTGGTAGGCTTGTGCTGGCTGACGTGGCATGTTTTCATGGATCACGGGGATTGGAATATAACCGCGAGGAAGCGGATGGCTCCCCGCATTGGGTCTGCCAGAGGTCTGAGGGGAAACTGTTGGAGGGTCAGAGGCTCCAGGAGGTTGAGGCTGCCATGAAAACAAAAATGCATTATTAAGTGTTATAATCATTGTGTGCTCACAATACTTTTCCCTTCCAAAAAGAAAAGGAGGCAGTCATCAGAGAAACTGAATTCGTGTTTCCGGCATGCAAGGACTCCATTTCCCTGGATTTTTGGCCAAGAGCCTCACTAGACAAACCACAAGTTGTGAGAGCATCATTACAACAAGCAGGAACCTGAGCTACAGCATTCCCAGCCCTGAAATGAGCAGGGAGTGGATGCTCAGTCAGAATGTTTTCTGCTTTTGCATGGCTGTTCCTGTCTAAACCTGTTAAATTTGAGGTAAACTAAAGCTAAGCAAACAAATTACGTGCTGGAGACAAACCCAAACCCCTAAGAGCACACAACGCTGACTTCTGATCCTGGCCACACAAACAGATTTTGTATGTCTTGTTGGGATTTTTAGAGCATGTCATTAATTTGGTAATGCTGATATGGCTAATTCCCTTTTGCCCCTCTCCTGCGAGAGGAGAGAGCAGGCAAGGCAGGAGAGAAGGGGAACAAGACCCCTCTTTTGGTGCTGATCAACTGCTTAGCTGCCCATGGAACAGCAGGAACCCTGAATAAATAAATGATGGTTTGCATTATAGCACCCATCAGTGGCACTAGTGGTGGCACTGCTCATGTGCAGTGTAGGGTCCCCAACACAGGCTCTGGTCACTTGGCACCCACACTGCACTGCTGAGCATGCAACAGCAAGTTCTGAGGTCCTCCCTGCTTGTCTCCACGTAAGTGGCACAGAAGACACGTTCCTAAAGCCACTCTGCAGACAAGGCAAAGCTGTACAGAGTTGGGAAGAGGAAAAGCTGAGCTTCTTGTCTATGGACAGGCATGGCTAGTCAAGACAGCTGAGAAACCTGCCAAAAGGATTTTAATTACATTCTTCAGACTCCAAATGGGTTTTAGAGAAGATGCCACCACCGCTGAATTACAGACTTGATATGTTTTCAGCCTGGTGAAGGCTGAATTTCCTGCTCATCTTACTTTGAATAAAAATGAGGTTTGTATTTCCATATATTACAAGAATACCAATTTGCTAATTCTCTACAGAGAGCAGGCCAAAAATCCCACCTTCTGAAAAACAAAACAAGCAGGGTGACTTTTTTTCAAAGAAGTTCATGGTCTGAAAGTATTTTCATATGCCACCAAAGGACAAAAAAACTTTACAATTCCCTTCTAAATCCGTGTATATGTAAATCCATTTCATACAAGTGAAATTTGCAATTAGGAAGCAAAGATCTTCTGAAGTGGCCTGGGTTGTTAGCTGACTGGACACTCCTCTCTCCCACTTTGTTCACCCAGTTTGACTCATGGTGCAGAACACAAGAGGCTTGTCTGCATCCTCCTCTTGTGGGGGAACCTGTACAAACACTAAAACAACCCTCCCCTGCCACAGGGCCTGCTCAGCTCTGCATTTCTCTCTGCAGAATCATTCCAGAACACAAGTGGGTGACGCTAGAAAAAACCCATACATATTTATGCTGCCGTGACTGTGCACTTTCAGTACTCTGGAAGTGTTGGGAAAACACAATCCTGTGGTGAGTTGGGCTAAGCTCCCCGTGTGACATTCAGGCCATAAATGCTGCAGAGCCCACTGCAAGCAGAGCCCAGCAATGCTGACGCTCACCTCAGGTCCGTGCGTGGCCGGGGCCGCCGCAGCTGCCGGTGTCTGTCCACATTGTTTATCGGCTGCCGCGGCCTCGGACGGGCCCCTCGCCGGCGACTCAGGGCCACCGGAGGCCCCCCTGAGGGGTGGCTGAGCCTGCCCCGGGCCGGGCACGGCCTCTGTCTTGTACCTCTGCAGCCCTGGCTGAGGGGAGGAGAAGCAGGGGTGCTGCTGCCGGCCGTCCAGGCCTTCGTGGATAACGGGAATGGGGATGTAGCCTGCCCGGAGCTTGGGGTAGCCCACGTGTCCTTCTCGGGCCACCGGCTGCTTGGGGCTGTCTCGAGATGGGCCATTGGCTGAGGACTGGCCTTCCTGCAAGAGAAAAACAGCACAGAACACTTGTTGGTAGCTCAATAAACACAGCAAGAGAAAGTTGCCCTAAAGGTCTGTCCTAAAAGCAGCATCAGCTGTGTATGAGGAGCTCAGAGCCTCTCACGCCTGTGCAGGGCAGCCAAGAGCAGATGCCAACACTGCAGGCAAGGGGAGGAAGCTAAAAAATCTGCTTATGTGTGGGGCTTTCACCCTCACTTCTCATAAGCATTCACTTGTGTTCTGAAATACCTGTCTAATTCCACCTGGATTTCTTATTTATCATTCATCACCAGCACCTGCCCACCCTCTTCAGAGGGAGCTCACCCAATTCAAACAAGTACCGACGGGACCAAAGACGTTTCCTCAGCACCTCTCAGAACACATCTGTGCTACATCTGAAAAGACACTTGCAAGGAAGACAATCCCAACAGAAACACAAATTTTGTTGGTATCATTCTTCCCACTGGCTATTTAGAGAGATACTGACACTGCACACTGAAAATGTATTCACTTCCAGCAAAGGAGGATCTGGTTCAGTAAATAATGAGGGAGAGGGAAGGGGAAGACATGACAGCTTAACAAAGAGGAAAAAGCAATCTTGCTGAAAAGCAAGATTTAAAAATCCCTGTGTTGTCTGAGTACACTCACTGGACAATGTCAAAGCTCTGGCAAGGGTGGAAGTGGTTTGTACTAAGAGCCCTCACAAGCCCTCTAGTAAGTTCTTCCTGCATCGGTCATTCTATTTTGAGACCCCAGCAAGGGCCAAGTTCCAGATGTATCTCTAAGTCAGATCATATAACAAGCACCTCTGTCATTCAGAGGGTAATGTCATTATTCAGTAAGAGGAGAATTTAATAAGGGGACATATGGTGCAAGTGTTGGAAACCCTATTTTTAAAGGGGTGTTTAAGCTGCAAAAATATTTCATGTTCCTCCTGTACACACTAACATACTAATTCATCAGGAATTCACTGTTTTATCAACCAGATTATCAGTGTTCTTCCTATACAATAGTATCACCTGAAAAAGTGATTTCTGAGAATTACTCTTAGCAATAAAACTGCAGAGAACAGAGGCTGTTCTTTATGTAAACTAATGAGAACAAAAAACACAGAAAGGAACAAGTTCAAAGTCTGAACACCACTGTTCCATTTCCTTTTACCCACTATAAAAAAAAAAAAAAAAAAATCCTTCACAAAGGAAGAATTCTAGAAGAGACATAGAGGAGAGCCAGGCCTAGAAAGTTCGCAGAGAGAAGAAATCTGAAGTTGGCTTTCCCAGCTGCAGAACAAGGATGATCTCATGCCAACGTCTGCACCAGGATCCACAGATGAGTCATTTTGAATTCACCCTACCAGGAAACCACATTCCTCTTCTCCATGCAGCCTGTCCAGGGGCTTTCAGAACCCCACACACCAACAAACGCTCTCCCTTTCACCTCCCACCAGCACAACCCCGGCCCCACAGCTCTGCCGGGATCCGGAGGGACGCGCCATCACGTCAGCAAACGGCATTTGCCGGAAAATAAATCTGAGGTGTGCTCAGCTGACAACAACGTGGCTGTGCCGGGGCAGAGCGTGTGTCAGAGCTTGTGCTGGGAGGGGAGCCCACGATTCCCAGCGGGAAACAGCACCTTGGTGCTGCAACTGAGCCCGGGCATGCTGCGAGCACCAGCTGCTCGGCTGTGTCCCCACTGCAGAAACCCGAGCAGCCACGGCTCCCACCGCTATAAAAAGGAGATTCCCTCGCTTCCAGCGGCTCTGAGGGAAGGGTCAATGCTGGGAAGGGTTTAGGAGCTGGGTGGGCCAGCAGCTCCTACAGGTGCTCAGGCATGAGGAGGTTGTCAGCCAAAGCTGCTCTGCTCCATCTGGGTACAGAACTGCCCAAAGGGAGAAAAGTTGTTTTGGGATCTGCATTGTCTTTAATGGCTCCATTTGGGAATAAGACCTCCAAGTTTTCTGGTCTAACCCACAATGATAAATCATTCAACATGGTCAGTGTCCCACTCTCCCCACCCTCCATGAATCCCCTACAAAGAACCCAGCCATGCATTTTTCCCTTTCCTTGTCTTCATGTTCAGACCCGTGAGGCTGCCCTTGCTTTGAACCTTCTCAGCAATCTGAGAAATCTGCCACTGCAACTTAAGCTCTGCTAGGAAATACAAAAGAGGCAGCCTAAACCCAAAGCAAAAAATCAGGCTGAACTGCTTTTTCAAAGCATCCAGTTTGTAAATGAAGTAAAGCTTCTGTCAATACTTTGGGGGGTTTTGTTTTGTTGTTCTCTTTTTTTTTTTAATAGACTACACTCTCATGATTTCTCACGTATTCTTACATCTCCAGACAGCTTGTGCTGCTCCTGTGGAAAGTTAATACTTCAAACTGGTTGTTTGTTACAGGCTTTTTTCCCTGTAGTCAGATCTAACCACAGAGGCCTCAACTGTGCAGTCATACTGGAACAGCCCTCGGTAAAGGAACAAATGCAGCGCCCTTGTTTTTCCCACCATCAGTGGCTCCGAGGCACAGATCAGGTTTAGGAAAGGTGCTCTCATCACAATTGCACTTCCTCATCTACATTGTCCCCTTCAACCCTTAATTAATCCTTGACTCTACAAACAGTTGCCACATTAGCCTGTTTGTATCACCATATCTTTAACATTCTTTCTTCCCTGTTTCTTTTCTTCCCACTGTGGTACAATCACAATCATGGACAATCCAGGTATTCTGAAATTCCCATCACTGGGGAATTACACCAGGAAGGAGGCCCCAGGTTCAGGGAGATGCTGCCAGTGGTTTGTGTCTGTATCTGGTGAGTGTGTGCAGATCCCAAAGTCCCTGTCTCCAAACTTCTGGCCAAAGCAGCTCTGTTTTGCACAGGAGAGCCTGTGTTTCCAGCCTGGGCAAACAGGTTCTGGAAGACTTCAGAAGAAGCTCAGGTGTGCCTGGGAACATGGTGGCAATGGGTAGGAATGGAATCAAGCTCTGAAAAACTCTCAACACTAAGTTAAAAAATTCACAGATTCCCTCCCAATGCTTTAATTCCACAGCACAGCCAGCACAACAAAAAGTAGCCATTTTTTATTTTATTTGTCTTCTATCACACACAGTTCTTGCTTGTTACATTAACAAACTTGTTACCTAGAAAAAGTCCAGAGTTCAAATTTAACTCCAATCTGCACAAAGAGAAATGACCAAGAAATGAATGGCAAGTCCTAGTCCATAATCCTTCCTGGTTTAAGTACAAAAAAAATAGGAACCCAACTCAGGTTTCTGCATTAAAACAAACAGAGGCAAATTTATCCTGCCCTCTTCTCTGGAAACGATTAGTGCCTTAAAATTCAGAGCAGCTACAAGCAGCAGAGTATCAACTAATTTTCAGTAAGTACAGGATCGACTATCAGCAATCCCAGCTGTGATCACACAATTTACCTTGAAGAGAGAGCATCCCTCAGAAGGAGGGAGCACAAAAATGCAAAAACTGTCTCGAAAAGCTCAGAAATTTTCACAACAGTTCTAGTCGACACTTCAGGTAGCCTGAAATACCTGCAGGACCTCAAACCCCAATCCATCACTTCAGGAGGTGCTGAGGTAAGTCATGACATCCAGACAAGTGAGAGGCTTGGCCCAGCTGCAGGAGGGACAGTTCTTCAGGGAGCTGTGCCTGAAGCTCTGTTCAGGAGCAGTGACAGCACTCACACCTCTCCAGACCAGGACAAGCGTTTCTGTTGTGAGGCCATCACCAGGATAAATAAAGGTGCAGCCAGCATGAGTTGTGCAACTGGAAAAAACACTTCATATCCCCACATCCTACTGCTGGCTTCCCGTGGGAAGGGCACTGTCAGGACCAACAGTAAAATCTTCAGCTTGCTCCCATTTTAAGTGAGTTCTGAAGCCACGAGCCACTGGAATGAAAAAAGCAACAGCAAAAGCACAACCTTGCACCAGGATTCCCTGTACAGCTGCACTATCTGGAGTGGAGAATGGATAACTCCTAGTGTGCCCCAAGTCTGCTCAAGTGTTATTTCAGACTCAAACACAGAAACCTGCAAATACAGTCACTGCTGATGCCAGCACATTGCCATTGCAGTTTTTCAGACAGCTCTACCATTCAAATTAAATTTGTCAAAATATTCTGTATTCATGTTAAGTGACTTGAATAGTTTTATCAAGTTCAGAATCTCCCTTTTGAGACTCCTTAAATAATACATTTGTCATTCTTCAAATATTAAAATGGTCTACAGAATAAAGTTTAAAAGCCTCCTTTGCTGCCATTGCACTCTTGCATTTCTCTTAACCTGCACAGACATTATTTGCAGTACAGTCAATTCAGTCTCTAAAACACATGTTATTCACACAGGCAGCACCCCTGTGGCTCTTGCAGAGCAGCAGTGCAAGTATTTAAATTGTACCTGCTTTGTAAATATTACCTAGCAAGGGGAAAACAAAATTTACCAACACCGCCAAGAGATTAAACAATTTTTCTGTATGCAAATAGATGGTCCACTAACTCCTGTCATTCTGAACTTGTAAGCTGCTGCTATAGACTACCATGCAAACAATTATTCTGGTTGCTCAAATGACTGAGAAAATATCAGTACCTGACAAAATCTTACTTGAGAGCACACCTTTCACAACTTTAAGCCCAAATATTATATATTTAGGAAGAAGGGAATAGCATTATTCTGTTCTTCCACAATCACATACAGCAATATAGCCAAAATGAGTGACATAACAACCAAGTTTTGTTCACAAACTTGCTCATACCCGTATTTTATCAGAAACTGCCATTAATAACCAAAAAAGCCAGTGGTACCTAGTATTCAAATTAAGAATGAAGTAACTATTCTATTTATTAAAGAAAATACCAATTTTTTTTTTTTGTCATAGAAAGGCAAATTTTAACCATTGGAATTAGATTCCACTTCTACTTTACTATTTGCCAGACCTTTTCTTCTCTGCTGCATAAACTACAAAAGTGCTACACTACCTTTGCTACCAATAGAAATCAACATATCCCAAGTATTTCTCCGAAGTTCCTCACCTGTGCTGTGTGTTTGAACACAGTAACAGCACAACATCAGCACGAGCTGGGTTTTACTAACACTTCCCAGAGAACTACACAAGTTGGAAAGTACTCAGTGATTTACTCTCAGTGCTGACTCTGAACTTCTTACAGCCCTGCCTCAGCAGCTGCAGACATTTGCATTCTCACCCTTCTGCTCACAATTTGTGCTTAAATATATAGACTGAGCACATAGACATTTGAGCAAGATATCATTAGCTAATGACTGAAGGAAAGCATGAATAAGCTTAGTTGCATGAGCTGTCTCAGTAGAACTTCGTGTCAGTCGCATCATGTAACCCAATTACAGGCCAAGCTGCTTTTGATGTTCTACTTGCTGAATGCTGAGTTTTATTTCCCAACATGCACATACACAAGGCAAACAGGCCTTTTGTTCTCTCTTGTAATTATCAAATTGTATTATACAGGTATTTACATTAACATTCACTCTAACTGATGCCATTAGAAATAAATACGATTAAAAACTGAAGGAGAAAACTAATCCTAAGCTTTTCAGAAAGGAAAAGAAAAGGAGGAGCCTTATTGGAGCAAATATGTTTGCTATCTTGCAGATCAATCTTGTTCCAGGAACAAAACCTGTCCTCCTTTAATCATTAGGAGGATTCTTTCTTCAGCTAAAATGCCTTGGTGCAGACATGACAACACCTGCCCTG